TTGAAGGGTTCCTACCCAGAAATACCAGCAACACAAAAGGACTAAATAACCAACCTTCCTTTGAGAGTATCAGCCAACATTCACTGCTGAAATCACCTTCCTTGATGAAGAAAACTGTGCGCAGCAGAGAGCAACGAGCTGTGATGTCTCAGACCTAGGGTGAACCAGCTCTCTCCATTAACTAACCAGAAACGAAGAAGAAGGTGTCACGAACACAGATGAGATGCTTTACAAGAAGAAGCAGGTCAGAAACCTCGCTCTGATACCATGTTTTGGAGCAGCTACAGTAACCCGAACCAGTGAAGAAGGAAGAAGAAGATGAGGAAGAAGACAAGAGAAAGAGAGAACAGGAGGGTTTAGTCGAAACTGATTAGTCTCCCATTCAGTCGACCCCCTAATGTTTATTAGGTTCTAATTAYACTTAYAAAGAMTAARCTKCCCTCACKTAAGTGTGGGGCAGAGTACTCTAATAAAACAGCCACATAAGCAAAGTACTTAACTGACATGAGATTACTAAACTACCCCTATTYGGCTCACTCTAACAAACACCAATGAATTGAATGGGAAAAACCATCCTTAGAGAAATCAGGGTGGAAAGATCCATTACAATAGGATGTATACAAGGAATGTATGGCATGAAACTAAAAAATGTGGAACAGCAACCCAAAAAGAAACCAGCCTTGCAAGAGCAGAGAAAAATCATTTTCAGAAAAACCATAACCCACTGGATACTCCATAAATTTATTTTTTTGAAAAAATGGGAATTGATATAATAGGCAACAATTATTGCTCTCCTTGGCACTGTCCATGGCTAACATTGTCAAACTTAACTTTTACAGATACAGCCTAGGGAACCCAGGAAATTCAGGAATTGGAGGTCTTCAGGGACTATGAAGAACAGATAAATGCTTTATTTTCAGGTCCCATTGGTGTTGGAGATTCAACTAAGGCAGAAATGATGGCTACCCTGCAAGTTATGAAAATGGCCAAAGTTTTGAACTTTAGGAATCTCATGGTGAAAGGAGACTCACACACAACAGTCAGATGGTAAAGAAACAGCTGGACTGACTCTTGGAAATATAGACATCTCATAAGGGAGATTGATCAACTAGTGGAGGCACTGAACACAAATTACATGTGAGGTCTGTCAACTTCTTGGTATATAGGTTGACAAAGAAGGATGCATCCAGAACTCAGCTTTTTTAGGGTGAGTAGAAAAGGCTACGCCAATACAAGGGGTGCTAGGTGCATTTATGTATATACACTATCAGATAATAAAAGTTTCAGTTACTGATAAAAAAAGTAATATAATACTATATAAAACACTGCATATTCTCTTTATTATTAATAAAATTTCTTCAGCTTACTGATAAAAAACCATGTCCCGCACTGGACCCAAACCCATGAGACAACCAACAATGTCCAACAAATAGGATTTGACACCAAAATAAAATGAACGAACCCTAACCTATACAGGCAACACACCCCACAAACAGACCTCAAACAACATCTACTTGATTTTCTTTTTTGAAAAAAGATAAGCAAGTTAAATGGTTTGCATGACTTTCTCTCTCGAAGTCATTGTTTCTGTGATCATATCATATTATGCTTTTATCATATAATAGTAAATGTATATGTACTTATGTACCCTTCCTCATTTTAGCATATTGTGTCTTCCTTATAAAATGGCAACTGATGAGGCTTAAGCCTCATTCCTCAGAGATTATACCTCACATATCTAAAGGTCCTGGTTCCTTTCCATCATGTAGCAATTGGCAATCGAATCAAACAGAATTAGACTGTTCAAAATCTTGCAAGAGGTTAAAGGCATTAAAATGATGCTCGCAGAGTGAGTGGGACCTACCACTCTAATCTCTCAAATGGTAGCTCTCTCAAGTTATAGTTCCTAATTGCCTGATATGCCATGTTTTTGTTCCAAATGGTCCATGAAGGAAAAGGCTAGCAGTCCAAGAAATGTGTGTATATATTGTTATAAAATGCCAAGGTTTTTGGAAGTTTTGGCTGAGGAGAAAAGGGATTTTCTCTTCCTCTGTATGTTCAAATTAACAGTTACTTCCACACTTAATTCCTGCTAAATACTTCTTGAAAGTAAAACTAACTTGGATGAACCAGCAAATGTCATGCACTACAGCACTTAAAAGATAAGAAAACACAGCACCTTGAAAATGTGGAAAGATGATATCTGGATATTTTTGCTTGAATCCTACATGAACTGAAAATTGTTAGAAAACACCAAAAAAAGAAAAAAAACAAATAAATTACAAGAACTTAGGAGGTGCTTGATAACGGCTAAAATGGTTGAGCTAAATGATTATTGTTTTGTCATTTATTGGATAAAATAATTCATCATCATATTCTCAATCTCTCATACTACTCTACTCTCGTACTTTCAATTCTTTTTTTTTTTTTTAATTTCAACCAGGAGGCTTGATCAAGTGTCGCAAGTTGAAGTTGGCAATTTGGGAGACTTAAAAGCTTTGCATTCAAGTTGAAATACTAAACCGGCAGACCAAGCTCCGAGGACTGAAGTGCAATTACCGGGTTAGTTGGATTTTTTATAAATTTTAGATTTTAATATTTATTAAAATGGCCAACTCCTCTTAGGCCCTCTCTAAAATCCAATATGATGATGGCTCTAGTAATTCTAAGGTACCAAGAAAGAAAACCAGTGATGGAAATATTTTACCATCAAGGATGTAGCGGGAAAAGGCTTGAGAGCAGTTTGCAATAAATGTAAAAATGATTTTTGCCATCAAAGTAGTGTTGACATTGGCCATTTGAAAAGACATATATCAAAATGTTAGATGTCCAACATATGAAATTTTAATATTTTAGCCTGGTGGAAAGAATATGAAAATAATTATCCTATGCTTGCCACTATGGCATATGATCTACTAACCCCTCCAATGTCCAAAGTAGCATCAAAATTTTGTTTTAGTGCAAGAAACAAGGTGCTAGATGAGAGCAGGAGCCAGATGACAGATGAAACATTGGAGAAGTGCATTTGTACTAGACGTCATCTAATGTATTACTAGAAGAAGAGGAAAGTGGGACTTGAAGAATTTTTTTTTAGATTATTGCAAATTTTGAGATTTTCAATTTTATTTGTACCTTGTAAGTTATTTGTAATTTTTTTTCAATTCCATTGCAAATTTTTATTTTCTATTTTGTTATAGCATTTTATCAATTTCATTGTAATTTTTTTCAATTTTATTCAATCATTTTATATTTTTCTTGTATGAATTGATTATTCATATGGAATAAAATTTTAAGATGAGCTTAAATTGTTGTTACAATCATTGAATTTGTCATTTTTTCCTTCAATTTTTCATTATTTTTTGAGTTTTTGATTTTTTAAGTGAAAGCAAAAAATGAAAGAAAGTGAAATAGTATGGGTTGGCCCGGCCTGACCCAAGGCTCGTGAGCCACAAGCCCAGGCTTGTGTTGGGCACCAATCCCAACCTGCACGGTCCATATCGGCCCGGCACAGCCCGTTATAATGCAAGCAGTTTCAGCAAGGGGTCATGTTTTCCTATATTGTTTTTTTATTCTTCATTGTCTTCACTCTACTTATTCCCTATGATTTTAATATAATAAAGCTCTTTCATCTTGCTACTGACATCTTTTCTCATTCCCTAGTGCCTTTCACTTTATAAACTAACTGATGTTACACCATATGGCAATTAAGTCCTTTAAATTTATTTTGCTAGGCCAGCCACTTCATGCAAAAAATGCTGAAGATGATGTTAGTAACTAATCAGTCCACTCCTCCCAAGAGAGAGCCAGGTAACCACGACCAACTTTAGGTAATGGCCCCTAGATTGAGTTGTTCATATAACTTGCTTGAATTTCCACTTTTTTCCAACAGTAGTACTGGAGTTTGCACTGATTCTCCTGCATTTAATTTTTTTTTCTTTCATTTTTTTGTGCATTAAATGCAAAAGACTTATGAGCATGCATATAAACTCTTTGTGTGAATGTCTATATAAAGTGACAAGTTGCCAGATTTGAACAATTTATTCCATTAAAATAGTTGGTCATGCAAATATATGCATAAGGACCCCCAACCATCAACCCCATCCTGAGGGAGCTAGTCATGCAAGTGAAAAAAAAAAATCCAGAAAGAATCCAATATCAAGGGCAACATGTCATTTCATTACCTTCAGCAATGTCATCATGACTTTCAGATACCGAACTTCTGTGATGTAACGCTTCATTATATGGGAATTTGGAGACTCCAAAAGAAATTCTGAAAGAAGCTAAAAATGCAATCATCAAAGTATCATTAAGCCTTGTTACCTAAATATAGTAGCAAATAAATATAAAAGAAAAAAACAGCCACAACTAACCTTCAATGACTGCCTTCTTGTCACATAATTTTTGGATGTTAGAAGACTTTCATATTGCTCAAAGAACTGGAACATCATTGACTAGTTAGATTATACAAGAGAAAAGAAAGAATGGGAAGAAGAAAATCATTCTCTGTGGGAAACAGGTGATATATTATCAGGGACTAAGAGACCACCATGCAATGAGTCCAAAAGAAGAAAACTCCTCGGCCAAACCAACTAAAGGAAAACAGATTTTCCATATGGTTTTGATGACTTTTGAGTCATCCTGCTGA